TTGGGTTGCAAAAACAAAAATGAGCAGGCCAAAAGTTTAAATTAACGTGGACTAGAAAATTAATGTAACAGTGAACAATTTCCGGAAAGTTTAACAACAGAAGAAACTAGAATAATAAATAACAGCAAAACTTTCGATTTAATAGGTATTAACGTTACCTAAACTATAATTTTATCATTGGGGTCACATTGTATTTATTTACATCGTACCTATTTACAAAATAGGCCACAATATACCTGGTGAATATTTTAAAACCAAACATACGGAATTAACATAGGAAAAAGGTTTTTTGCTCATTGCTAGCCATGTTAACTTAGAGATAATGACGCCAATCGAAAGAAGATTTTTTCCTTATCTAATGATATACGAAATACGAATTAGTTCATTTTCAGGAGTATTTCTCACAATTTTATCAAAAATTCGGCAATAAATCCACTTACCAAAATCATTAGCAGATTCAAACGTCGAAATCAATATCAGTTTATGACAACTGGCGTTAATTTTTTTGTAAAATGAGGTTCACTGAGGAAAAAGTACATATTTATAATAAAGAACGTTTACGGCGGAAATATATTTACTCTAGTAGGTATGCAATATTTGTTTTCCGTGCCTTTTAATGAGCGTCCCATTCCATCTGTGTGAAAACCTATTTCAATTCTTTAGAAAATTTCCATGGCTTAACATGATTTTGCTAATTGGATTCATTGTCGAATTTTTGTGGAGTGGAGGCTAGGGACGCGATGTAGCCGTTGGTGGGGCCAATGGAAACTGGAGGATAGGGGCGCGATGTATTCGTCGTGGAGGGCAAGAACCTGATGTATCGGTAGATGGGGCCCAGGGAAAGCGGAGGGTAGGGAAGCGATGTATCCGGCGTTCAGTTCAAAGGAAAACAGAGGACAGGGTCGTGATGTATCCGTAGAGTTCAAGCGAAAGTGGATAATATCCTTAAAGTAACTGAACTGTGGAGAATTCATTGCCTGAACCACATTTGTAATTTTAATTATTATTGTTCGATTCATACAGAGGGATTTGGTTATTTTTTCATTCCTTACGAATTTATATTTCATTTACGTAATGATGTTCCTTTGAATGAATCCAAATTTTGAGTTGGCAATTGGCATGTTTAGTCGCACAATGGTCACTGACCAAGATTTACTAATTCCTTTTTGGGGTAAAATGAATTAGGTACAACTCGAAAAAAATCATTCCAATGGACTGTAACTTTTAATAATGCTCTCTAGTGATCGTTTCTTGTTTCACAAGTTTCACAGCTACTCTTGACTAACTACGACTATACGTTTTGTGGATAGTGTGCGTTTGAAAGCGAGTACTTGCTTTTTTTTAATTTTTGTTCTGAAAGTACATTAGTTAGTTATTTAAATAATTAAAAAAATGTTGTCATAACAATGTCCATAAAAAAGTATATTTTGAACTCTTGTACCAGATCTATAGCAGTTTGATGGTTTAACTTTGGTTTATCCCTCGGTTTATCCTGTAAGTATAGTAGGTAGGTACTTAAATTTTGTGCTTCTTTTGTTTTGCTTGTAAGTAGGTGGGGAAAACCATCATTTCTTCCTGTTTTGTGGGGAAAACAGATTACCATGTTAACGATCTTCAAAGAAAACTAGCTACTTACCTACATTATTTGCATTTGCATTGCATTAAATGCCTTATACCTAGGTTGAATTTTGTCTTAATTTAACTTCATTTAACAGCTTCTTTCGTTTGATCTTAGCGAATATGTGGAATTTGATGATCTTATAATGAAAAACCTCAATCACGCTAACAGGCAATTAGCTACCTACAGAAATAATTAGTTGTAGCATATTATATACAATAGCTTTTTAAATGACCATAAACGAATGAGTTAATGTTAATTGCCAAAAAGATGAATGACTTGTGTGAAAAAACTGCGACCTTAAAATAGCGTATTTTTACCATAAGTTGAATGCTCGTTCGTTTCCATTGCAAATTGTTAATTTTTTTGCAAACTGGTAAAAAATCCTTACCATTAGTATTCCGTACCTATATCACGCACTAGCATAAGATGGGGTTACTAAAAATCACAAAGAAAATGTATATTCGTTTATTTTTGAAATTTATATAATTAGTGAAACTTACATCGATCAAACTCGAATCAAGATACAATAATTTGAACTGGCTACTATAAAAAATTCGATCCCGAATTATAAACAAACCGCGGTGTAAAGCTCGTCAGTAATGCAGCTGATGAGTTGTTTAGAATGAAACTTATAAAACTAAAGTCCTTGCATTTCAATTAGGTATTTACCAGTCCCCGCCGCGCCATCCCCAGCCTCGTCCCCAACCCCAACCTCCAAATCCTCGGCCATACCCGTAATTTCCATAGCCCCAACGTCTCCACGGGCTACTGTAATAACTTCTCCATCCACTATAATACGGTCTCCTGTAGCCCCATCCCCAAAACGTGGAATCTGTGTCTAAATCGGATTTATCGGGTTGTCCAACTGCGGGGTTGTCGTCAGATAAAGGGCCTATGTCTTCCGGAAGCGCAGGTCCGCTTTCGGGCACGGGGTTGGGGCTGATCTCTGGCACTTTGAGATCTTCGGGAGCCTTTTCAGGCAGCTTCGTCTCTTCCCCTTTCGGTTGTTCGGCTTGTAGGGGCGACTCGTTTTTTTCGGGCGCATCCAGTGGAATGCATTGGGCACTGGCCAAAAGCGACGCAACTAGTACGAGAGCCAACATCTGCAAGAAAGTTTTTAACTGGAAGGTATACGATAAAGTAAATACCAAAGCGTACGTACCTTCAATGCACTTTTCGCGCACAAACGTTGATCTATAACTTTGATCTTCATTAGCTTTGTGGACGTTTTATAGGCAAGGAGACGAAGGCTACCGCGGCTGTTGACCGCTAAGACGATGCTCTTTGGCGGTGGTCAAGGCTGCGGCGAAGATTAACGTGAATGTGTATATAGTAAATCGTGAATCACACGTTAACTATATCCCAAATTTTTATTGATCGGAATATTTTTGTTTACGTTACGAACAATACGATTGCCAAAGTTGTTTACGAAAACTAGGATGTAGGTGTAAATATCAAAACAGTTTGACATTAATAATTAGCGATACTGCTCCTTGTTGTTAGCGGGTTAAAATGTAAACTTTTGTAAAAACACAAAAAAGTTAAAAATGGAGTGTTGCGACATCAGGTATAGGTAAATATGCGTCACATCAATAATATAATGTACACCTGGATGCTGCACGTAGCACTTTGTTAACATATTCTGAACTACGTAGTTTTTACATTTTGCAAAATATTCAATCGACGTTCCGTGCGTTCACCGAAATACGGGTCCGGAGCGACGCCCCATTCGTTATAAAGCATAAAGCTTCCTTTCCGCCAAAAATATATCCACCTCCTAATGAATTAAATTGTCAAGTAAGATCCTAGAGTATTATACATTGTAATCATAATAAATAAATAAACTATATTGCCGAGCCGAATTGGATCGATTAAAGCAGGAAAATGCAGCTCAAATGGCCAAAAAAAATCATTTTTCATCAAGACAATGCACCAGGTCACCAATCGTGGAAAACAAGGAAAAACATGTTGCCGAATTGAAGTTCGAATTGCTTCCGCGCCCACCATATTCAGTATTAAACTACTGGCTTTTTTCAGATCTCACAAGAATGCTCCAGGGAAAAATACCTATATGGCTCCGTTGGTGAACTAATCGCCGCTACAAACGACCATTTTGGAGGCAAAAAGAAAACATTCTTTAAGAAAGGTATAGAAGTGTTGGAGGAGCATTGGGAACAGAATATAGCTCTGGAAGGTGAATATAGTGCAGTAATTATCGCAAAAAAACGGCAAAAAATAATTCGTGTAGTTCTAATTTTTTCGGGAATGTGTGCGAGAAGGTCCCCTGATGAATGATGATGATTGTGTAAGTCCCAAAGCGATTTCGGTGTCACCGGCGGAAGGTGACCAATTTTCTTATGGCAGATGATGATTGAAAAGGTTAAGGGATTGATTCTGTCCCACCAGATCGGTATAGATTGTAAAACAAATATTTGAATCGGCATTAGTTTTACTTTTATTCGAGGTCCGTAGGTATATACAAAATTTCATTTAAATATTAAAAAATTTGAAATTGCGCAGGTGAAAAACAAATTTTTTTATTCGGCATTAGTTTTACTTTTATTCGAGGTGCCTATATACAAAATTTTATTTAAATGTCTTAACAAATAAAAAAATTGTGATTGCACAAATACAAAAGTTGGATTGCGCATGCGCAATTTTATTTATTCATCTGCATAGTTCCCTGAGGTTTAAGGAGTATTTACTAACACAGAAAAGCGGACATTCATATGTTCTTTGTAACCTTTGTAAGAAACCGTTTTTTGGAGGTTTGGGCAGTTTTTGGGTTGTAACTTTTTGGCTCCTTAGTCTACGTAGCCGAAAAACAATAACGACCTTTCTTATATCCTTAAGAACATGTGTGTCAATTTTCAAAGCGATCGGACGTTTCTATACAAAGTTATCGTGCACACGGACAGACAGCAATACAATATTATAAACGATCTCGAGGATCGTTAATAACCGGTACAGATTTAAAAGGCATACCTATCTTACTATAATAAAGCATGGGAAATAACACGTACCTAATCCCCTTACGTGTTATTTCCCATCTTCCCCAGATGCGATTTGCATTTGTAAATAGAAGAAATACCCAATTTTACAGTAGGTACCTAGTTTTGTGGTTTACTTATTTAAAGCTTAGAATTCTTCGAAATACGAAAATTGGGATGCGTGCGTGAATTTTTGGAATGAATCAATTACGTTATAAAATATCCTTTATGATCAGGAATTTTCATGTAACTCTCACTAAGCAAGGTTAAGAAACATTAACAGGCTAGGCACATGATTAAAATGACTCAAATTAATTGAGTAGTGTACCTAGAACCCCCTCATAAAATGCATGCTATTTTAGATTTATTACATGACAAATCGCATTTTATGGACCATTCAATGACAAAAAGTAGTAGGTAACAAGAATCTGCACTTTTTTTTTATTATAATGTAAACAATATATTTCAGTGGGTCAAAGATAACTGTATGTTATTCAGTGATACAACCCAGCATGAGATAACTAGAATGGCATAAACAATTATGAATATTCTATATACCTACTTAAATGGGCAAATCAGCATTTATAAATATCCACGTATTAATCAAAACATTCTTGTTTTCTGAATTTAGATACGTTAACATTAGTTTTCGCTTATACAATTATTTATAGCCACTTTTTGCATTGAAAATACTATTTTGCATTTTTTAAATTGTAACGTTGTAGGAGAAATAGGAGAAAATATACATCATACATCAAAGTAAAAAGATTCCTTTGCATATTGTTTTCAAAATGCCTGGTGCTATATTTCAAAAATCATCCCATCTTAGAATGCTTTTAGATTAATTGACGTGATGTACAACCCTTAACTCATATTTAACTTTGTTGCCGGCCATTCTCAGTATCAAATCTGCCCCACACCAAAGAGTAATTATTAAGTATTCTTTGCCCACACGATGATATGGGTTTATATTGTTTTGTGCTATTGATTTCATATAAAGCACAGAAGAAACAAAAAGTCAGTGAGTGACAATGGAAGTCAAATCAATGGATAGGTAACTATTAGGTACCTACATCATATTTAATAACCACATTAAAGCAACTACGATATATAGATTAGCGTCAGAAAGGAAATAAAATACCTACCTACCAGAGATTTATTCAAAAGGTCAAAGATTGTTTATGCTACGCTCTTTTATACAAACAGGATGGCAATAACTTTGAAATTGATTACATTTTTCACTTTTTTTTACTAGTCAAGGAATCCCACTAAATGACTTATTAGTTATTGATATGCTCGATATTTATCCATCAATGATAGAATCAAGAAAAAGGAGAGATGCACAGTAGGTGTATAGTAATTTACAGAAAAGCTTTATATTTTTAATTAGTAAAGCTACTCAAGGCCAAATAACGTAGACAACAAACAACCCATTTAGGTGCGTTTCGAAAAACAAGTTTTCTTCATTTTTTTAAAGCCCGCAACATATCTCAGAAAGCAGGTAATTTAAATGCTATTTTTATTGGTAGTTTAAGCAATTAGGAAATATACAAAATTATTAATTATACGTATGGTTTTGTTTTAATTCATTTTATCCTTGTTGGTAAACATTTATTGTCTCTTTTACTTCATTGCTGAGGTTGTCAATCTACATTGAAGCCGTTAGTTTTGGAAAAGTAACGTTAGTTTTTCTATGTTCCTCTAAAAATTGCTAGTCCAGTTGACTAAGATTTATTTGTTTATATATGTAAGTTGTTTTCATAAAACCATTGCCTAGTTCTAGTTCTTCATTGCTAAAATTTAATTATTCTATTCACAAGGAGAGCCCAACTAGAGAAACACTTACTCACTTAGGCACTCCAAAGGGCCATCTTACGCTCTTTCTTTCGCAACGATTTTACCCTGCCCGATTCCGGATAACTATGGCCAAGGATGGCGAGATTTACCTACTCGGCGGTAATTTCGCTCGCCTCTTCAATTTGCGCCGTTTATCTCATGTTCATAATCCATTTCAGTTTAAAAATCCCTTTCGGCTCGGCCGATCAGGTGTAGGTAGATTTCTTTAAACGCATTAACATATAAGTGTCCGTCATTTTATTTCAATTGACTGATACACGAACTTTACCGAGATATTTATGAGTTTCACCAACCCTTAAAATTTGGTCGAAATCGGTTCATAATTATGAAAGTTAGAGTGTTTTTTGGAATAGTGATATATATAAACCTTTATACTGGTACCATTACCATAGGTAGATAGAAATCCACCTAAAACACTACCACTTTTAGAATATAGTAAAATAGAAGCCGAAACAAAAAATAATTATTTATACCTAGTGATATTCATGGCAAAGATAGGCGATATTAAGCTTGCTACTTTTTTACACCTATAATTAAAATCCTCAAGAATTTGCATCTTTATTTAGATTTATGCTTGGATTTATGGTTTCTGCTATAAAATGAAGTACCTATCGTCTTATATACCTAACAAATAACTATTTTTGAAAAAAAAATGCATAACGGAAAATATCAATGTACTCCAAATCTTATGTATTATCAAATTTATTCCATTTTTCTGTTAAGTTTGAAATCCTGGTTGTTTTATGTATTTAAACACTTATTGTTACTGTTCATAAGCACATTCAAGTTTCTCAAGTGTGTATAAAGATTATATTATAATTATTTTAATCTAGTCGGCGTTTTTAAACCTTTTTTTTGATTTGCGATCCAATTTTCTTTTAAAATTCTTATTGTCCTCTCCCTCCTTTCGTTTATGTTTGGCAATGCCGGCCGAAATTTACGATTTGTTTCTTTTATGGTGTGTGTATTTGTTAATTATAGTTCGGGGACTTCGAAATTTTTATTGCAAAATTATGAATACATTTTATTATACCTTCAATAAAAACGAAAAAAATGTGAAATGTGTATAAACAAAAAAATACATATATTCGCGAAGGGGCCGGGGGCATGAATATACCATTTCCATTTTTTTTAAGCAACAGTTGATGTATTGCTGGCCTGGGATTACGATAGCAGCCGCTCCTTTAAACTTTTCTTGTAATTTCCAACTCACGTGCTTGACCTTAAATGCAAGGGTATTTTGTTATAAAACGGAATTACCAAATTTTTGTATCACGGCTTTGAGGCGCACTTGTTCGTAGAAACGAATGATCCTCCAAGCTCCTTATTTGTCTCTTACCAGGTGATTTTCAAGCACTATTTTGTCATAAATTTGTTTAACGTCTTGGTTCTCTGAATTTCTGCATAGTGGGTAGTTGAGCGTGGCAGCTTTTTTATAAATAATGCTGATGCTATGTTTTTGCACTCTTTCGGGCGGCTTTATCACATTTTTTAAACCTCATCCCCAGGCAATTTACGATTTACATTGGTGGAATTCCCAGTAGAGCCATCTCACTTTCATGTCGAAATGACATACGTTTCGCACCACCTTCGAACCTTCATATTGGACAAAAGAAAACCTGGCGACGATGGACGGTAACTTTTTCCTAACGTTCGTCGCGAAAAATTCCTGTTTTTCGGCATTTGCGCAGAATCTCTCTTGAATTGATTTTTCACAAATCTCTTACAAGATTTCGGTTGCGCTCAAATGCACTTTGAACCATGCTCAAAATTTGAATCATGCTCAAAAGTCTGATAAAATAGGAGAATTTCATTTACGTTGGTAGGTTCCAACCCAGTTCGGGAAAGCGCATAAACAGTCATAGGATTGCACCTTGCATTGCACTTTAAAAAAGTTATAAAAATACGATAAATTCCTTCGTTTGACAAAGCGTTTAGAATGTTATCCATAATTTTTTAGTGTATTCCCGAAACTCTAACGCGCATTTCAGGGATACCTTTAGTATTTTCTTTAGCAATATCTAGGTATAATTCGATGGAACCTAGAAATCCGTGAAACAGCTTATACAGAAGTGCCTAGTAAGTTGTGGGTTTGGTTCTAGGAATGGCCCGAGAAGACAGTTCCAAGATTGGGTTACTAGACCAAAAGTTACAGCCCTTTGAAATTTCGTACGAAATTTTTTTCTAGTCTATAACTTTTGATTGAGACGTCTAATCGAAAAAGTATGAATCGTTTTGGATTCTACGCACCAAAATTATTACGAAAAAGTGTTTTTCCGAGAAATTTTGGTGTAGTCGATTTTTGGTAAAAAAGGAAAGTTGTACCTGCCTTTTTTTTGGCCGGAAAAAAAATTGTCTCAGATCGGCCGGAAAAAAAATTTCCTTATAGAATGTGGCCTGTAGAATCCATAATTTCAAGCAGTTCCAAGATTGGGCTACTAGACCAAAAGTTACAGCCCTTTGAAATTTCGTACGAAATTGGTTTCTAGTCTATAACTTTTGATTGAGACGTCTAATCGAAAAAGTACGAATCGTTTTGGATTCTACGCACCAAAATTAATACGAAAAAGTGTTTTCCCGAGAAATTTTGGTGTAGTCGATTTTTAGTAAAAAACGAAGGTTGTAGGTACACTGCCTTTTTTTTGGCCGGAAAAAAAAATTGTCTCAGATTGGCCGGAAAAAAAATTTCCTTATAGAATGTGGCCTGTAGAATCCATAATTTCAAACAGTTCCAAGATTGGTCTACTAGACCAAAAGTTACAGCCCTTTGAAATTTCTTACGAAATTGGTTTCTAGTCTATAACTTTTGATTGAGACGTCTAATCGAAAAAGCATGAATCGTTTTGGATTCTACGCACCAAAATTAGTACGATAAAGTGTTTTCCCGAGAAATTGTGTTACGAGAAACTTTGCAGTTTTTGCAAGTTTTCATATTATTGTAAGATCACCACGCCTGATAGCCCTTTATTTGCCATTTTCCCGTGTTGGGAATACCTGAAAGCCCTAGAAACTACCTAAGGAATTGGACCTGGGTACTTTTTTCTGCGCTTTTTTAATATTTTCGTATAAAATCTATAGTTTCAAACAAAAATAGAACTTATTTGAGACATGGTAACTGAAACGATTTAGATATGATTCCGCCATGTTCATCAATTATATGCAATTGGAATTGGATATTCATAAGAGTTTTTGTTTGAGATTTTGTTAAAGAAGAATGATGATGGATAACAAGTATATATTACAGAATTGCAATTATAAAATTAATGTAAGTACCTATGTAGGCAATAATATTTAACGAAAACAATACCATTGAATTTGATAGTTATAAATTCAATGACAATACAATGGGCAATAACAGTAACTGCCATATAGATCTGAATAATGAATATTCCTTGATAGATCACTAAATTCCCATTTCCATCTGTAAATTTTTCAGATAGATTTGGTAACTGTTTTGAAAACAGTACTGTTTATTTGTATTCAGTTTGTATTGCTTATTTGCAGAGACTTGCTATAACTAGACTGCGCTTAACGTATCTAAGGTGTTGTCGACACAGTATGCAACACACAATGCACCGCGGGGCAAAAATCGCTGAGATGATATGCAATATAATGAAATAAGCTGTTATTTTAGATGTTCCGTTTATTAATCATTCTCGTGATTAGCTCGAATTAGTAAATTTCTGTTGAGAATAAACCAATAAACTTAGGTTAACTTGTGCCTATCAACATGTACTCTGTCGATAAATTTTTAAATAATATGCTGATTTTCAACGGATAAAAGTTTAAAAGGCCAATATGGATCAGAGCCATTCGAAGAGAAAAATTTACTCCCACCATAGTGCATTTGCGGGGAAGAAGCCGCTTTTAGAAAGATACCTACGAAGGTGTTAAACAATAATGCAATACCGAGCGTTTTCGACTTTCCTATACACTTAAAATAACGTAGAACTATTATTCGACATCCTTTACCAGCAAGACAACGGCAATACCTATTTGCCTATTAGGTATAGACGTAACTAAGTAAGTACTTACTGGTACTAAGTATATTTGAGGTTTTGTTACAAGAAAAATAGCTAAGTCTGTTAAATGTTCCATATGTGCAGATGCGATATTCGCATCAGAGAGTCATTCAAGGCTTTTAACTAGAAAAAATCGTGGAGGATTGTTGCACGTATCAAGCGATGCATTAAAAATTTGCCAAATTGATGAAAATGTGTTCAGGTTTTTCATTCAATCCACACCACAGCGCGTTGTAAACAAAATGGTTATCAGCAGTCTAAGAAAAATAAATAACACTTACAGCCCATTTGGGTTTTTGGATAGGCATATATTGAAGCAAAATCCGCTACATAATCATATCTTACTACTTACATCTTTAGTTTTAAGAGTATATTTTCCCATACGTGTTCACCACCAAAATACACATATAAATCAAATTAGGACTAGAGGAAGGCAGTTATATACCAATTTAGTTCAAATAAAATACCAATAAATTCGATTAAAACAGTTAACAGCTATATGTTATCTTTTTTTTGCTACTAAAATTTAGAATAAACATGGCTAAAGCAAGCTACAGAACGTACGTCTGCCCCGCGATGAACAGTTGGTTGCCTATCCTATCTTGACAACAGGCGTTTATAGTAAAATCTACGTTACGCGCGGTCTAGTTATAACAAGTCTCTGCTTATTTGTATGATGTTATGAAAAAAAAGCATTTGTATGATAAATGACATGTATGAGAATAAAATTTTTCCGTTTATGTACTTTCTAAATTAATTAAATATGGTAGCCGTTTGTCATTAAAATCATTAAACAGAATCTGATTCTGATTAGTGATTACCATAAATAATAATAGGTTAACCTAAGATTATGTGAAATGGTAGTGAAATAAATTCTTCGCAAATTTACTGTAAACATGTGTGATGCATGTTCCGATTTTCTTCAGTTGCTTATTTCTTGTAAGTTCACATTCACTTGCCACCAAAATCCATCAAAGACTTTTAAATTTTAAATGGTTGTTGGTTGCACACTTTGTGCAAATGCCAAATTACATCAGTACAAGTTAGAAACCTCCTAATCTATTGTGTTTACGTTGTAGATGAAGCAAATTTGTGTAAAGAAATCAACGAACAGCCCACATTAACACGGCAAGATATTAATACAATACTGGTTTATGTGCAGGCATGGGTCTCCAGGTGAGAGGAAGCTTTTTGTTATGGTACTATTGATGTTTCATTTCAGGCAATGCATGTGTTGTTATCGGGACCAAAAAAATTTAGAACGTTTCAGTTGTATCACGCAAGGAATTTTATATCTTACAATATTACATCTAAAGGAGCTAGGTGATTCTAGTACAGACTCGGATAAGAAAGACAATGATCCCGAAGATAGAGTTAAGGCAGAGGAGAATTCAGCCGACGTCCAGGAAAGAGATAAATTATTTATTTTGGCATCGAAAATATTTCTACTGAATTTCCCGCTTTATGTCGCTTTCAAGCATACGGCGACAAACAAAATTGATGATTTAACTCAGCACGAGATTCAAAGTTTAAATTCGTTTTGTGATCTTCACGATTCCGAAATACCGTTGTATTTGTTAAGGAATGTCACATTATTTTGCAAATTGGGCGGTTTACACGTGATGACTGCCTGTTTTACTTTCTTGTCGCCCAGTGAACTACCTGTGTCAACCGCTCATGCGATGATTTCAATAGGTGAGCGAGACTGACGACTTTAATGATCATACAAGCATTTTTTTTAGTGTGCAATTTGAAGTTGTGGATGAATTTTAAAAGCACAGTTTCTTTATTGGTTCCTCTGCGGTCTTGTGTACTTAGGTATATGTGCAAATTATCAGATCAGGACTTACGCACCCCCACAATAAAGGGCATGGCAGGTTTGTTTTTGATATGCCGATTTGTGTAGAACAGAAATTGACATAGTATATAATTATCAGCTAAGCTATTTCACATTTTATTGACATTTTAATGGACATTTTTACACATATTGTTGGAATCTGGAATTGTGGAGATTTTTGAGCAATTTTTCAGCAATAATAGCATTTATAAATGGGAAACAATTACTCTAATTTAGTGAATACCACCTTCAGCATCTCTAGGTAATTTTCTGCCACTTCTAGTGAAGTGAATAGTAACAGATTTAATTTTTTTCGGTCTCCATAATAAATAGCATAATATTGTTATATAAGTGCATAGTTTAAAAGAGATCTTATTGAGTAGGTATTTATTTATTATATTTTAGAATTGATATTGTGTATTACATCACTTATTAAGCGGCAGAGCAAAATGATGGAGGTTTTAGAGGGAAATCACGGTGTCCGTCTGTCTGTAAACACGATAACTGACAAACACTTGGGGCTGATTTGGTTCAAACTTTGCACAGTTGTCTTATATACCGCATGTAACACTCCTATTGAATGTGGGTCAAATCCAATGATCTGTAAGCTGATAGATATTTTTGTGTAGGCATTAGAGGCATGCTGAAAATTTGTCCAATACTCCAATAGTACAGTACAGTACAGTAGGCTCGATCAACTACCGAAAAAAAGCAAAGAATTAACTGCACACATTTTCATTAACACCTGACATACCTAATTCTTGAATACAAAAAGAAAAATCTGACATGAAATCCTATCCAGGTTGCAGAATGGATTCGAATAACACACTATTACTTGATTGAGAATGACAAATTTTTGCGCTGCTGCCACGTTCTCGCAAGTCATACGCAAATTTGACATCGTCAATCTAGGCAGCGCCGTTTTCGCTCAAATTGATGTAAATACTGGTTCTTGGCAGATCCACTGTACTTGACGTTGTCACAAAAAAACGTATGGCTTGATTAACATTGTAAAAATTATAATAGCGCTCAATTTAAAATCGGAACGACATAATATCAAAATTTCATAAAAATCACTCCATAAATAAAAAGTAATGCACACGCGCCAGTCCATTGCAAATTATGTATTCACTTTTATGAAAAGTATCTGTAAGTAGGTAGTTAAAATTTCGCTCAGGTATAATGAATAACATTTTGGAAATGCGCTTGCGCAGAAACGGGAGCTTATTTGACATTCTTTTTTCGTTTAGCTCACCCTACATGTTGGCACTTGTTAAATAATGTAACAGTGACATCACTGCTTGGCCCATATATTACACGGACTGCTAATTGCAAATATAATATGGTTAAGGACATCGCCTGAGTAAGTGAGTTTCAGGGTAAACGACTGTGTCCGAAGTTGTGTGATGAGATACGATTTGAGACCGTCAACATTTAAATTAACAAACGTCAAATAATGAATCGCTTAGATGTGCCAAAAAAGCAAACCTATTCTTATTTGTAGACGTACATAAGATAATTAAGAAAATTTAAAGCTTCCCATATTACATGGTTGCTATAGAAGCTGCTTTTTACGCGATCATGGTGGTGTTCACACGACTTTAGTTTACCCTGAGATTCACATACCCTAAAGTCACTAAATATAGAAAGTACCGCAATCCATTGGGCTCGTGTGTTAGAGAGAGAACGCATGATTTTTGCCCAAAAATGGCGGAAGTTACCAGATTCTAGTAACTTTAATGTTAGGGATTGTTCCATCTGTTTGGAGATATCTGTATATATTTTTATAAAACATGACAGTACTATGAAGTTAGGTTATAAAAAATGACAGCTATTCAGATTTTATTTGTCAATTTTTTTAAGTTGGCAGCAAATTTGCCCAAAAATGGCGGATGATTGCGGTACTTTCTATATCTAGTGACTTTAACATACCCACGACTACAGCGCCCCCTAGCCGTAACCGCTCATTTTGTATTGAAAACGTAGGGCTAATAGCAGTATGTATATACTGTAAGGTCTAAGGACTACTGTTTCAGAAAAGAATGACACCGACGTTTACGAAGGTGCGCGTAAAACGTAGTTGTATGACGTTTAAAATGAAGTTTTGTTTTGATTAATTGTTTGGAACTCAATGCATGATAGCAATATGACCGTGGCATCCAAATTTATACTTTATTTTACTACTTAATCTTAAGTAGCAGTAGTTGGGTTTACCTAAACAGTAACTACTTGGATGCCAATATGAAATTTACCCTATTTTTTCATCACTTTTATGACGCTTTTAATGCAGCTTTTCCCAAAAAAGTTATTAGCCTGAATAATAAAAGAACCCAAATCAAATGGTTTACTCGCGACCTTAAGCAATTGAAACAAACCTATGAGTTAGTTTGTGAAATGTATTTAAATTATGGATCAGAAAATCTTTTGAGGTTGAAACGAAACTGTTATACATCTTATAAAAAAGCTATAAAAAGGGCTAAAATCTCTGCACATAGTGACGCAACTAAATTGTCGTCTAATCCAATAGGTACTATGTGGAGTATTATTAATTCCCACAGACGTTCATCAACACAAGTTTGTTACAATATTAAGGCAAATGAGTTTAACGATCACTTTTCTAGAGATTCCTATGATATGAATGTTTTGCCAACTTCTAACCTTAATCCAATTGAGATTTGTACTATCGACAATCGTAATCCAAAATTTAGTTTCGATTTAGTACCACCTGTTGAAGTTCGAGAAATTCTAATATCGTATCTATCCGATCGATCTCAATATGTCCGCATTGGTAATGAACAGTCCAGTACACTAGCAATTACAAAAGGAGTCCCCCAAGGTGGTATTCTTGGCCCACTCCTGTTCCTTCTTTATATCAATGACCTTCCTAGTTATATTTCACCAAACAATAATTACATTCTATATGCTGATGACATTACTCTGTTGCCCAGTTTATATCTGAAGCTCAATCTCTCTGTGACAAAACTAAAGAGTGGTGCACTGCTAATAAGTTAAACTTAAATTCAACGAAAACTGAACAATTGTTATTCTCTTTAAAACGCCATGATGTATCTTATTCGCCATCAGTAAAATTTGTTGGAATACATATTGTTGTGTTATTTTGTTTTAGTTGTAACTTGAAAGAAATTATAGAGCGTCTGGATGTGACAATTTTGTTTAGTTCAATTAATTAACCGGGGGGGTTATTAATAATTTGAGACACAGGATTGCGTAAATTTCATGTTATAGTTTTGGTTCAATTTCTTAGAAGTGTTCTGTTTTTATTTTATTCCTAGAATTTTTTTCGATGTAAATTTCTTTTTAAATTTTATTTGCCGTTAACGAGGTATAGCGCGAAGTAGAGATAAGGTTCTTCGCAGAATTGCCGGGCGTACGTGCCGTTTAGCAAGAAGTTGAAAAATCGACGCTTCGCGTGATTGGCGGACGGGGTGTGGAAGAAAGGAGAAGGGCTTTTGGCTTAAATAGAAAATTTTTGAAGAGAGCGGGGCTTTTTGGTCGTGACAAAGCCAACCGGCGCTTCTTCGGTTACGTTATTTTTTGAATTTTGTGGAAGTTTTCCTGCGTAGTTGGATCCAGGTTTAATTAGAATTTTGTGTCTGCCGTTTTAAGAAGAATTTTATTGAGAAGTTTAAGAAGTTTGTCGTCGTCCTGTTTTTTTTTATTTTGCGGAAACACGGAAGTTTTGAATTTGTGGGTACCCGAAGAGAGAAGACGTCGGTGTTTGAGTGTTTGGTTTGCGTGATTGTGTACGGATACCTCTTTTTATCGGAGTACGTTACTCGGACTAATTTTAAAAGTAAGTAGTAGTTAGTGTTTTGTTTTGTCTTGTTTTTTTTGTAATGTTTGAGTAATTTGTTTTTTTTTTGTGTGTCATTTATCTGTTTAAAATTGTAACAATTTGTAAAACAGAAATTTACGCAATTTTTTGTTTGAAATTAAACCAGTTATTGCAATCCAGGTTTTGTTTATTAGAGTCAAGGAGAGGTAATTGTCGGCGTCTCTTACTTTGTTTCAAGTTGATTAAATCTGGGGGTAAAGTTTCATATTGGAATTTAAGGATTTGGTTAAGCCACCTATTTATGTCATTGTTGGAATGCTGTAGGGTGGCAGAATCCAGCTGGACCTTGAGATGCGGGTAAAAATTTGTTTTTTTTTAATTACAACTGAGCTAGCTAGAGGGAAATCGTGGGATTCCCAGAAGTGTAGGTTAGGTCTCACAACAATATACTTCTTCGTACTTTAAGATTAGAGTACATCAGTAGTTTTTGTTGATTTTGTTTACTTTTTGATATTTCTTAGTTCTTTGAGATATTCTTTGGTATTTACTTTTTGACACTTTTGATACTTTTTCGCAATTTCTAATGTAATGTTCTTATTGGTAACTTTTCAAATATCTACATTGTAAAGACAACCAAACCAACAAATTAAGTATTTTCTAACAACAATTGAACCTTAAAAGAAGTGTTTTGTTAACAATTTACAAGCGAGGTCAAAAAATATGACTTTTTCGGCCTCGTTGATGGAAAATCACCTTGACTTAAAACGACTTGCTAGCGAAAATGGGGGTGAAGAGTGCTCAAACGAGGGCCTATAATACTCTTAATGTCTGATAAATAAAATCCTGCTGTAGTCACAGATAAAATACCTCATCGGGGAGTCTTTTGTGAGAAATGTAATCAGGTTACCTTTTTTTTACGTTTTGAAATAAATGCGCCCAATCGTGATTTTCGTAAGAAAACACCATTAAACTCTATTAACTTAAGTGTTGCACTAAGCCGACATTTTCCGTCTTTTTTACATTATGCCCATAAACTTAAAGCACTTTTAATTATGAAGCTAATCCATAGCAGTATCCGCAGAGCAGAAGGCGTAGTGTAAAATTAAGGGCTAAGGTCAAGGCTAATTTTGTATTCATAATTGATTGCTGCTTGATTTTTTTAATTATAGCGTATTCTGCCTGCTGCATATGTACTTCTTTCCCAGTAGTTATCACACATAGAAGATTAACGAGTTTGGCAAACTGTTTGTGCATTCCCTAAATCCGGATACGGAAAAAATTCTGACTTCAAAAAAGTTTGGTATGGCGTGTCTTCGAAGATGAAAAGATCGAAACCATACGACAAAATGCGCATAACAATTCACCTGCAACTAACAAAGTTGATTTTGAACATACACAATGTTCCCTGTCTTGTCCTGTGTTTTCAATCCGCCTTTGCAAAAAGCATTTTCAGTTAAAATTTCATAACGCTTCGTTATCTTGGTGGATTTTCTTTTAGACATCCTATATCTGGCGGTTGAGCCGACGTAATTCAATAATTGATAGCATCGTTATTCGTATTAATTGGTTTCTACGTCCTCTCATTAACTAAGAGGTACATAAAATTTTGTCATCAAAGAAAAGGGATACATTTGATTGTGCGGGTCCGATTACTGCACCAAGTGCATATGTTTTCGATATTGGACTTACAAGTAATATGCATTGGCCCTTCAGGCAGTAATTAGTTCACCACGGTACCACTGAGTTTAGGTGCGTGCAGTTTCTTTGTTACA